TTGCCGCGGATCCCTCGCTCTGTCGTTCCTGCTCGTCTCCGGGAGTCTGTCCGGCTGTGTGCGGGTGTGTGCGGGTGCGGGTGAGGGGGCTCTTCGCGGGAGAGACGGTGGTTTCTTCCGAGCCGCAGCCCATTGCATTTTGAGAAAGCATGCAGGTTTTGCTTCGTGGTAATGTTCTAATCTTACAGTATATTTTCATTTTTTCGACCAGTTCGCCTTTTTTCCCCCCCCTTTTTTTTTTTTAAAATCCCTTCTTTTCTCTTTTAATTTTTTTTCCCCAGTCCGGATTTGGTGAATAAAAATGAAGGAGCTTTGACTAGTCTCTCTTCATCGTGTAATGTCTTTAGCTCATTAAACAAGTAAAAACGGCTGCCATGGTAGATTCAGGTTCTTCTTGTGGGCAAAGTCTGTAAAAAGTTTGTTTTGACGTATACTCCACAGAGAAAGAGGCTGGTGCCTTGGACTCCAAAGGAAAATATCCTAAAGAGAAGTGTCTTCTGTGCGCCAGAATGAAAATTGTGTCTTTCTGTTGAAGATCAATCGCTGAGGTTACTTAAAAAAAAAAATAAAATAAAATAAAGCCACTCTGTCTCTTCGCCGCATCTACAAGTTCACACAGAGCCTGGTAGCTGGCACGGCTTGGCAAAGCAGGGGAACTTCTTGCCATGTCGAGACGAGGCGTTCTTGGGAGATTATTTCTCTTGGACAATTCACATCATTTGTGGTCTCTGCATTGTGTCTTGATGTGGAGAAGAATACCAGTGAGAATAGCCAGGCATGTAGCTGTTGGGAGGCATATTGACTCCCTTGGCAGAAGCTGAAACGTCCCAGACTGGAGGCAGAGCCGGAGAGCGAGGGGAGAGGGCAGCGGAGCCGGGCAGAGGGTCGCTCTCGTGGGGGTTGCTGCCCTGCTTCAGCAGCTTCTTGAATTTGGAGCGCTTGTTCTGAAACCAGATCTTCACCTGTAAACCAAAACGCAGCAGTTATGAGGCCACCGTCAGCACGGGAGACCCCGGGGGCCGTGGGTTTGCTGTAGAGAAGGTCTTGAGAGCCCACGGCAGCCGGGTGTGGAGCTGGGGATGATGGGGAGAGGGGAAGGACGGGAGTAGCTACTGCTGCTCTCGGACTCTGGATGTGACTAGAGAGAACAGGAGAGGCAGAGCCGAGCTAGAAAGCGAGAGGGGTGTAGGTTTTAGCCTGGAACCTCATTTTCCCTGGGCAGGCCAGATTGATCGAGCTGAAACCGAGTACATGCTCTGAGCTCTGCTGCTTTAACGCCTCATTGGGAATTCTGGAGGTCATTTGATCATTTGGGCAAACTGTTGTCAAACACGGGCAATCATATGATTTTGTGCCAGGAGACAGGAGCCAATAGACAAAGGGCATCTTACAAAGAAATCGCGTATCCAAAGCCGTTTACGATCGAGCGGTCCTTGCAGATGTGACGGGGGAAGAGGCACAATGGATCAGGATTGTGGCTTTATTTTAAAAGTTGTTTTTAAAGAGAGGAAAAGTCTCTTTCCTGAGAGAGTAATTGGCTATCAGGATTTCTTCGGGTCTCATCCTGCAGAGCTCCCAAGGAGACAGCCTGCCCTCAGTGAGGCGCGCAAGGATTGGGCCCACTCTGACAGATCAGAATTATTGTAGGCATGATATATATGCAAGACACATATCTACACAATATTTCTTAAAATCAGACAAACAAAGAAAGCAACTTCTACACGTGTATTTGTCCTTGCAAACTTTGCAGACCTAACGTTAGGGCATAAGCAGGGATGCTCGTCTAGCTGCATGCTCAGGATCGGGCCCCTGAATCCATGCGTGCGCGGGAGAAAGCGAGAGAGCAAAGGAGAGACGGAGCGTGCATGCCAAGGGTACTAAAATCCCATTTGTACAACCATCAGGTCTATTCCCATGATTAACGTTTGCTGAGTATTTAAAAATCGCTGGCTGGAAGCGACTGTTATCAATGACGGTGATAAAACCCTGAAGTTATTTGTTAAGCTCATAAATTCACATGATTACATTTTACCCGAATTGATCCCATCCATCCATGCGCTCCTCCGCAAAGCCCAGCCTGGGAAGCCTGTAATGCCTCATGTGTCTTTCAAGCTTTAAATTAGCAGAATGGCACAGCTACTCCAACCACACTTAACTATGGCTTAACCTGCTATAATTTTGTACACGGGTCTCTTTGATCTCCAGATCCATTATCACCTTTCGTACATTTTGCCCAAGGGTAACCACTGCATTTGCGTTAGTCATCCAGGCTGAATTAACTATTGATTTTACAGGTACTTCCTAACGTGCTCCTGCTTCCTCTCTGCCTATAGGTTACTACGAGGCAGCTTTGCTTTCCTTTTAGCTCTACCTCAGGCCCAGCGACTCCTCGCCTTTGTTTTGTTCTCCCTTTCACAGCCGGGCAACCGCATCTCGGTGCTGGAATTACCCGAAAATACAGGCAATTTTAAAATCGTATGTGTGGCATCAAAAGGGAGCGTTTGCTCGCCAGATGGCTGAGAGAAGGGCGCGTTCGGCTCCTCCTGCGGTAGACCGGTCTCTCCGTCGTGCATTAGATAAGTCCTGTCACATATAGATGGGGGACCGTGTGCGTTACCTTTTCTACCGTTCCCGTACAGAGGTCAAAACTTTTGGGAAGCATCGTACTTGGCTTGGCCTTTATTGCTCGCGCAGGATTTCAGTGATTTGGCATTCCCAGTAATTACCTGTGTCTGGGTTAGTCCTAATGAAGCTGCCAGTTCGGCTCTCTCTGGAAGCGCCAGGTACTGAGTCTGCTGAAAGCGATGATTTAAAGCCTGGAGTTGTAGACTAGAGTAAATGGTTCGAGGCTTCCGAATCTTTTTCCCTTTTCCATTGAATCTGATTTCACCGTTTTCAATCACTGTGGTTTTTTGCTGATCTGCAAGCAAAACAACACAGCTGAAACGTCACCCTCCTTAGCGGGATTTGACTCCTAAAAAACCCGACGCCGGTTCAACACCGTCGCGTACACACAGGCTCCCGCTCCTTAAAGGCACGCCGCGACCCACGCTGCTCCTTGAGAGCTGCCGGGAGGGAAAACAACTGTCCAGGCATAGTGAGCACGCTGCCTTTCCCCCAGGGAAAAAGAATCATAATAAGATTTAAAAATATATATATATTGTGCAGCGCTGGCTTTGTGAAGGGATGTCTGGTTCCAGGGCCATCCAAGTTTTACCCGGCTAATTGACTTCGTGTCGCCAGTTTGGTGGTCAGTGAATCACCAGTCC